CTGGCCTCAAGTGATTTTTTTTTTTTTAATGGAAAATGTTGAATTCCACCGATTCCCCCTGGTTCTCTTTACTTACCCCCCTCCCTTCTTTTTTTCTCCTCTTCTCTTTTCAGAATCAGAAAGGAGTGGGCTGGATGGATATAATGGGGGAGAGATTCCCCACTGGGACCCCCATGGGGTGGTCAGATTTCAGGCTACGCTGCTTTAACAATGGAGTAATCAGATACCTTCCGGCATCCTATTGCAGATGGATATTCTCAATCAAGCTCGTTCTTGAAAGGTTTGAGAGCTTTTAAGGGCAGGATGGCAGCTCGGAAAGGTTGAGGACTTCCCTTCATAAATTGAGAATGCCGTCAGCATTGTTGCCATCAATGGGTTGTGTAAGATGCAGAGCTTTGAACCTTGGCAAAATGTGGCTGCAATTTGCCCAGATTAGAGCTCTATATCAATCAATCAATCAATCAATCAATCAGAATAGAGTTGGAAGGGATCTTGGCGATCTTCTAGTCCACCTCCCTGCTCAAGCAGGAGACCCTATACCATTTCAGACAAATGGCTGTCCAGTCTTTTCTTAAAAACCTCCAGTGACAAAGCACCTACAACTTCTAAAGTCAAGCTATTCCACTGGTTAATTGTCCTCACTGTTAGGTCCTCCTTAATTCCAGGTTGCTTCTGTCCTTGGTTAGTTTCCATCCATTGTTTCTTGTCTTGCCTTCTGGTGCTTTGGAAAATAAATGGACCCCCTCTTCTTTCTGGCAGCCCCTCAAATATTGGAATATTGCTATCCTGTCACCCCTCGTCCTTCTTTTCTCTAGACTGGCCATACCCAATTCCTGCAACCGTTCTCCAATTCCTGTATTTGTCTCCAGGCCCCTAATCATCTTAGTTGCTCTTCTTTGCATTTTTTCCAAAGTCTCAACATATATATATATATATATATATATATATATATATATATATATATATATATGAGTCTTTGGTCATTCGGGTTTTCTCCCGTGTAAGATTAGAAGTATCATAGCGACGTTTCGATGAAATCACATTCATCATCATCAGGCTTGTGCTTTTAGCTTTGTGCTTTGTGCTTTGTGCTTTGTGCACAAAGCTAAAAGCACAAGCCTGATGATGATGAATGTGATTTCATCGAAACGTCGCTATGATACTTCTAATCTTACACGGGAGAAAACCCGAATGACCAAAGACTCATATATATATATATATATATATATATATATATATATATATATATATATATGTTGAGACTTTGGAAAAAATGCAAAGAAGAGCAACTAAGATGATTAGGGGCCTGGAGACAAATACAGGAATTGGAGAACGGTTGCAGGAATTGGGTATGGCCAGTCTAGAGAAAAGAAGGACGAGGGGTGACAGGATAGCAATATTCCAATATTTGAGGGGCTGCCAGAAAGAAGAGGGGGTCCATTTATTTTCCAAAGCACCAGAAGGCAAGACAAGAAACAATGGATGGAAACTAACCAAGGACAGAAGCAACCTGGAATTAAGGAGGACCTAACAGTGAGGACAATTAACCAGTGGAATAGCTTGACTTTAGAAGTTGTAGGTGCTTTGTCACTGGAGGTTTTTAAGAAAAGACTGGACAGCCATTTGTCTGAAATGGTATAGGGTCTCCTGCTTGAGCAGGGAGGTGGACTAGAAGATCGCCAAGATCCCTTCCAACTCTATTCTGATTGATTGATTGATTGATTGATTGATATAGAGCTCTAATCTGGGCAAATTGCAGCCACATTTTGCCAAGGTTCAAAGCTCTGCATCTTACACAACCCATTGATGGCAACAATGCTGACGGCATTCTCAATTTATGAAGGGAAGTCCTCAACCTTTCCGAGCTGCCATCCTGCCCTTAAAAGCTCTCAAACCTTTCAAGAACGAGCTTGATTGAGAATATCCATCTGCAATAGGATGCCGGAAGGTATCTGATTACTCCATTGTTAAAGCAGCGTAGCCTGAAATCTGACCACCCCATGGGGGTCCCAGTGGGGAATCTCTCCCCCATTATATCCATCCAGCCCACTCCTTTCTGATTCTGAAAAGAGAAGAGGAGAAAAAAAGAAGGGAGGGGGGTAAGTAAAGAGAACCAGGGGGAATCGGTGGAATTCAACATTTTCCATTAAAAAAAAAAAAATCACTTGAGGCCAGGCTTGGAGCAGTTGGGGGGATTTTAAAAGGGCCAGTGGGGGGGGGGGAGGATTAAATCTCAGCCAGCAGATTTTGCTGTGAAGTGCAACCATATCACCTTTTGAAATCTTCCCTTCTTTGGGAGAGTGGATGGAATGACAATTGCAGATGGTGTTAAAATAAACCAAACTTTTGTCTCCTTCCAAGTTAGAGCAATCTCTGTCTGTCTGTCTGTCTGTCTGTGTGTGTCTGTGTCTCTCTCTCTCCCTCCCTCCCTCCCTCCCTCTCTATCTGTCTATCTATCTATCTATCTATCTATCTATCTATCTATCTATCTGTCTGTCTGTCTGTCTGTCTGTCTGTCTGTCTGTCTGTCTGTCTGTCTCATGTCTCTCTGTCTTCTATCTCATCTATCTATCTATCTATCTATCTATCTATCTATCTATCTATCTATCTATCTATCTATCTATCTATCTATCTATCTATCTATCTCATATCTCTCTCTGTCTTCTATCTCATTTATCTATCTATCTATCTATCTATCTATCTATCTATCTATCTATCTATCTATCTATCTATCTATCCCTTTCAATCTCTCAAAAATCTTTCTTTTAATCTGTCTCAATCCCTCTTAATCTGTCAATCTCTCTCTCTCTCCCTCCCTCTCTTTCAATCTCTCTTTCCCTCTGTCTCTCTCATTCTCTCTCTCTCTTTCCCTCTCTCTCTTTCAATCTCTCTCTCATTCTGTCTGTCTGTCTGTCTGTCTGTCTGTCTGTCTGTCTGTCTGTCTGTCTCTCTCTCTCTCTCTCTCTCTCTCTCTCTTTCTCTCTCTCTCTTTCCCATTAGCCATCGTTGCTGCTTCTTCTGCTAGGCACACAAAACTGGAGGGAGCAAGCAGGTTCCCAAAGGTGCTTTCCTCTGCTCAGATAAATTTGCTTCCAAATAATGTATAATTAAATGTGTGGTATCGAATTAATGTTGCAGCTGAAGTGCTTTGGCAGCACAGATTAAGGCAAGAGGCAGGGGAAGGAGGGTGGTGGGTGGAAAAATCACTGCTCACCGGAAAGTTTCCCTTTCTCTCTCTTCCTCTCTTCTGTTCTTCTCCCTGTGAAGCCTCCAATTCTCTTTAGCCTTTCTTTCCCTCTAGGATCTGGGACATGTTATAATAATAATAATAATAATAATAATAATAATAATAATAATAATAATAATAATAATAATAATAATAATAATAATAATAGTAAAGTTGGAAGGGACCTCGGAGGTCATCTAGTCCAACCCCCTGCTCAGGCAGGAAACCCTATACCATTTCAGACAAATGGCTGTCCAGTCTCTTCCTAAAAACTTCCAGTGTTGGAGCATTCACCACCTCTGGAGGCAGGTTGTTCCACTGGTTAATTGTTCTAACTGTCAGGAAGTTTCTCCTTAGTTCTAGGTTCCTTCTCTCCTTGATCAGTTTCCATCCTTTGCTTCTTGTCCTGCCTTCAGGCGCCTTGGAGAATAGCTTGACTCCCTCTTCTTTGGGGCAGCCCCTGAGATATTGGAAGCCTGCTATCATGTTTTAAGTCAGAAGCTTCTTGGTTGAGAAGCAAAACGTCTTCAAGAAAAAAACAAAGTCCAGTTGCCTTTTCAAAAAAGCACCTTTGGGACAACCATGGCCTGGATGCCTGAGAATCTCCGTAGACATTTAGCACTGGAAAAAAAAAGTGACTTAAAACTGGTTCTCATATTTATGGCTGTCGCAGCAAGCCCACAATCACTAAATCATAAAACAAGGCTTACAAGTCACACTTGCTCGATCCATAAATCATACTGAAGCAAAACTGGACAACTTATATTACGATACAGTGTGTGTGTATGTGTGTGTGTTAACATGGTACCCATAGACCTCTTGATTATGTGCTACCACTGGATGGTACCCAGGGACTGTCAAAACCAGACGTGTATATTGACAGTCTAATATATATATATATTAGAAATTAAAAATGGTGAGCCTCTCCTAACAGTTGGTAGCTTCAAAGGAAGAATTAGCCCTTAGTGCATTAGACTGTCATTAATATTGTCACATTCGCTGTGGCCCTTCTACCTTATAATGGATTCCTAGTGCAGCATGCACAAGGATGCTTCATGAACATCGCTGTTCTGAAAACATTTGAAGAAATGGTCACATTAGGAACTTAATCAGATTTTAATTGCAAGGCCCAATCTTGCGATCAGCTTTAGCGAGTGAAATCATCGGGGTATTGCAATTCCAATTTTCTCATCATGGTTTTTATAACTGGCCCAGGCTTTCTAATTGTGTGTCCATGTGATCCCTCTACGTTCTGCAGCTGACATGTTTCAACTCCCCATCAGAGTAGCTGAATGGCTGACATCTGAATTGCTAATAATGTGAAGTCATCTGTATGATTCTGATATACCTTCAGTGGCAGTTAGTTATATATCTTAATTACACAAGTGGCGGTGCATATTTGTGGATGTTACATTTGATGTTCATAATTCCTGGGGGGGGGTGTATGTTTCACTTCACATTAGATTTATTGTTACAATGATTTAACAATAAGAGATCCATGAGTAATTTTAAGAATGAACAAATAAGACTATTTCTTCCACTTTGTTTTTTAAAAAAATGTTTTTAAGAAAAATGTTAACCAAATAACAAGAACTAAAGATGAAATGGAAACATAGAACCAGATCCAAGTCACAGAAAACAGCATGATATTCTTCTGGACCTCCATACTTGAATGTAACTCCAAGTAAAAATAGCAGTGTCCTGCCAGAGAGAAGGGTTACAATTCCATGAAACTTATTCAGAATCTGTGGCTGACCCAACAAAACAGTGCAGCATGCAGGAGGCCAGCCATGATCTCCTCAGTCACAAACAAGATATGTTTGGTGGTATGTATGGGACAAAATTTCATTTTAATGTATGCCGATTAGTGTACATTCAAAGTGACAGTAAAGTTGTTATTCTATTCTGTTCTTCTTCTATTCTATGTTACATGGGTTGCCATCCAATGAGGAATTCTGGGAGTTGAAGTCCACAAGTCATAAAAGGGCCAGGTTTGAAGACCCCCTGCCCTAATGAATCTTTTGAAGCAAAAATTAATATAAGACCCGGTCTTATGTTTGGGGAAACACGGTATTGATTGTATTGCCATTCCAACTGCATAAGTACTAGGTTACCTTTGAAGTGATATCTCTCCCCCCCCCTTTTTACTGGCTGTGCTTGCAACCTGTTGTTGAGAATTATTTCAGGGGTAGGCTTGCTGGCTGTTGTCAGTGTTAATTCATGACCTGTAGAGGAGTTGGACAGTACAGAAGGTGCAGGCAGAGATGTCAGTTGGCAGATGCCTTGTTAGAAAGGCTGACTGCGATCTGATAGAGCCAAACAAGTTGGCACCAGATACCTGAACAATCACTTTGGAATAACAAGCAGCAGCTATTCATCGGGAGCTCTTCTGCACGTACCAAACGGCTGTAAAAGGTTTATGCAGATCTGCCTCTCTAGTGACCTTACAACTTAGCCTCTTCAGTGGCAGACTTATTATTCACAAACAGAGGAAGAAGGACTGGTAGCAAAATGACGAAAGTTAGAGTAATGACATTTGATTTTCATCTCGGATTCTGATCTCCCTTTTGGGGCTGGCGGAGGCTTAGATTTCTATTCATTGACATGCAGAACAATCCTTTTTGAATATTTCTCCATCTATAATTTTCGGGAGTTTTGAAACTCTGCTGATATTTTGTATGACCAGTGTTTGCTTCCCTAAAGTGAACAATTCAGCTGAAATACTTGTTCTATTTTTTTTTTTGCTGCCTCGTTTGCGTATTTTTAAAAAGTTTTTTTTTTTAAAGAACTGTAGAATCAGAGAGCTGGGTTTGGGGGGGGTGTATAGTGGTTCAGGCACCGAGCTAGAAACTGGGAGATCATGAGTTCTAATCCTACTTTGGGCATGAAGCCAGCTGGATGATCTTGAAACATTCATTTTGTCTCAGCCCTAGGAAGGAGGCAAGGACAAATTACTGCTGAAAATCTTGGCAAGAAAGCAGCAGGGACGAATTCAGGCAGTTGGCAGGAGTCAACACTGACTCGAAGGCATAAATAACTAAAATAAAAAAATATATAAAAAGAATTAATTTAGGAAAGTTACTGCTTGTTCTGGATATATGGAATATGATATATATGTGGAATTTGATGCCCTCAAATGTTATGCTTCTTCATTTGATCTCCATTGTAAAAAAGGGAATTGTCAAAAAGTCACCATGCAAAACAGGCAGTCAGATTTTAAGCTAACATGTTACACAAGCTCAGAAAATTAAGGCAATGTGTGGTTTAGTTAACCATGGATAAGCCTGGGCAAAAATAGCCAACCTAAAAACTACAAACCCTGATCAGTGCAACAGTGAGCAGAATATAGATGCATGAAAACATCTGGATAATTTGCTGAATATCCTGCTCTAAAATCAGCCGTGAAAAACACAAATTGTTTAAGAAGATTTCAAGCATGCTTAATACTATCTGCCACTTAATTGCTAAATATTATTCATAATATCGTTATTAGGGACCTTTCATTATGAAATGAAAAGGTCAGTGGGAATTCTCTGATGAAGAATTTCTTCTAAGAACCATAGTTTGTGCAAGCTGGGCACATCACTCTTCCCAAACAAGCGAAGATGTCTAGACATGGTTAGCTTTTATGCCAGCCCATAATCTTTTAATTAGCAGGCTTAATTGTTTAAGAGCCATTTAAATGTTTTGTGTTTCCAAAGCTTTGAGATAGATAGATGGATGGGTGGATAGATAGATACCTCACCCTGTATTTGTGTATACGCATTGTTGTTGTTTTTTATTATTTTGGTTTTCTCAAATGAAAAGCTTTGTTCATTTTGATTCAGTTGGTGTTTTGTTTTTATTTTTTGAATATTGCTTTTCTGGCCGTTTCTTGGAGGCTGACTTTTTCTTGTTCGGTTTTCTTGTCTTTACCTAGGGACATTATTTGTCATAGCTTGTAATTAAGACAAAATCAGCCCATTTCTCAGAAACAAAGCACCCATACATGAACAGCCCATGTGTGTGTGATGTATGCTTGTGTGTGTGTTTGTGCATGCATGTTTGTTTCCTATAACTAAAACTGCATAGAAAGAATGTTTTTTTCAGTCATCTGATAAATCTCTCCCAACAGTCTCCTGTGCAGTAGATGTTGGCAGTTCCTTAAAGCTGCTGCATTACACCCCAGGACTGTTGCCATCCACATTTGCAGTGTGATCCTAGGAAAAGGACATCTTTAATTTAAGAAAGTTCTGATGTGTGGTCTATCCATAACCCTGATGCTCCAAAGCACCTTCAGATCTGAAGCTGGTTTTCCAGTTGATTTTGCTTTGTGAGAACATTATAACCTACCTGTAGATGCACCAAGGACTGTCCCTGAAGGACACTGTTCTCTGCAGATAACATTTTGAAGAAATGTATTGGGAATGAGCACCTAGCGATAAACTTACCATTACCAACCCTCCTTTTTGTCTCCCATGCATTCTTTTTGGGAATCCGATAATCTGTCTGATAAAATGATAGATACAGAAGCACTCCATTAGGGCTTATGTTGTAATAAATCTGTTAGTCATTACAGTTTGGCTAGCTATTGTTAAAAATGAATCATTTTTAGCCTCCTAAAATGATGGCTTTGATTGATCAACTTTTTTTAAAAAAAAATAATAATCTCTTTTCTATAGCTGCTTATAAAAATGTAAGCTGTTTAGCCTCATCTTACAAAGTATATCTTCCAAGCAGAACAATCCCTTTGCAAAGGGATTTTGACACGATAATCACCTAAACATCCAAGAATCCTTTAAAAAAAATAGAATTATGTTTTGTGGGCAAAATTTCTTAAAATTATTAGTCTAGCAAGCTGTACACAATAAGGAGACTGTGCTCTATCAAGGACTAAATCTTATTTAATTCAGTGGAATTTACTGAAAGAAGGCAAGTATAGGATTGCCTGATTGTCAATCAGTTGAGACTTCAGCTCTCTGTATATTTAACCTGAAAGTAAGTTTTTCAAATGTGGTGGCATCTATTTAGTAGATGTGTATTTTATTGTCTAGTGGATATATAATGTGAGAAGTGGTGTTAATTAGATTGGCTGCAATAATCTTTATATCAATGCTCAAAATGACTGAAACTTCAGTCAGGGGGAAAAACCAGTATATAATGTGATATGCAATTCATATATAAAAGCATGATGAAAAGATTTCTTCATTGGGCCTCTTATTATGTCCTGCCTCACTTTTTTTTTAACAAGAGGAATGAACTAAAGTGATTCCCAGACCAGTTTTAACCCTATCAGAAATGGGTGTTATTAATTTAATTTGGGAAAGAAAAACACCTTAAATAAACACGGCTTATCAAGTACTTAGGAGCCAAGGACTTGGCAGCAGAAGGAAACAACAACCAATAATTTAATAGCTGGCCATCAACACCCCAATCAATAAATATAAACACTATGCATAGAATAGCCCAAAGCACACGTTACAGTAGATAGAAGTTCCCTGAGGATGAGGAAATATATAGGAAGAATGGTTGCAGGAATTGGGTATGGCCAGTCTAGAGAAAAGAAGGACTAGGGGGGACATGATAGCAATATTCCAATATTTGAGGGGCTGCCACAATGAAGAGGGGGTCAATTTATTTTCCAAAGCACCAGAAGGCAAGACAAGAAAAAATGGATGGAAACTAATCTAGGAGAGAAGCAACCTGGAATTAAGGAGGACCTAACAGTGAGGACAATTAACCAGGTGGAACAGAAGTTGCCTTCAGAAGTTGTAGGTGCTTCACCACTGGAGGATGGGTTCCAGCACAAGTCCAAAAGCTCAGAAGACTAAAAACTCTGGTCCCGGTGACTGACTCAGCCTGGGTCTTGCAACATTATCCTGGGACATATGTATTTGCCTTCATTCATTCATTCATTAAAAAAAAAAAAAACCCTTTAAAATTGCTTCCATTCTAGATATTTTTTTCATTCATTGCACTTTCATAACAGCCCATGGTAGTTGTATATCACTTGGCCAGTAATAGGTATATTCCTATTTGGAAATTACGTTCAGTAGATTTAGCTATTTTCTCATATCGGAATGGGAATAGTTTGAAAATAGTTTCCATTCTGACAAGCTCATTTCCAAAATCTAGATGGACTCCATTGCATGGCCAATGAAATGTCTGGGAGATAGTGAGATTGTGAGACCTCCCCTTATGAAATTGGTCTTCACACTCTGCCAGTTTTTCTCCATCTGCTTTCATGGTAGCAGCAATTGTAATAAGGAAATTATATCCGAATTGCTTGTGTTTCTTTGCCCCTGGGATGCTAAGTCCTGCATGATGGAACCGTTGCGAACCAGAGAAATGTTGTGTTGCCATTGTCCTTGGAATATATGTCTTAAATATTTCTGAGCTAGAATGTAATTCTACCACCCACCCATCCAAAAATACTGATTTGTTTCTGGAAGAAATAGATAGCATTGATTTCAGTGCATACATGTTTTTTTTTTAAAAAAATGCAACAATAATGTAGATAAATATTATATACAAGCAAACTCATACTCTTGGTTTGTCTGAAGCATAATCTCCTGCTGCAAAAATAAATAAATAAATGGGGAGGGGGGAGAGAATTTTGGAAAGAGAACCATCAATCAAATGGTGGGGGAAAAAACATGACACAAGATGCCCCCCCCCTTGAGCAAAGACATACCCTGCAAAACTTCTGAAGGCAGTACTTCTTAACAAGATGAAATGTTCTAAAGCCCTGCTTCCTTCTCAAAGAGTATGGATTTATTATGAGTAAACATAATAAAGGTGCTTTTTTCCAAAAGACAACTGGACTTCCTTTGTTTTTCCTTGAAGATGTTTTGCTTCTCATCCAAGAAGTTTCTTCAGTTCTGAAGAAGCTTGTTGGATGAGAAGTGAAAAGGAAAAACAAAGGAAATCCAGTTGTCTTTTGGAAAAAGCACCTTTGGGACAACCATGATCTGGATGACTGAGAATCTCCATACATTCTCATTTTGCAAATTGGGAACCTGTTCTAGAGTGAGTAAGAGGAACAAACTGTGAATTGTTGTTTGTATTAACATTAGTTCATGCTTTCCTCCTGTCCTGCCCCTTGCCCTTTGCAGATGTACAGTATATTAAGAGAAGAGACATCGTCCTTAAGAGAGAACTGGGCGAAGGTGCTTTTGGGAAGGTGTTCCTGGCTGAGTGCTATAACCTCAGTCCCACCAAGGACAAGATGCTGGTAGCTGTGAAGGTAAAACATGAAGGCTCATGCTCATCTTCCAAAAATGGCCGCTCATATCAGATTCTGAAGTTCTTCCTATGGTTTCCTTTGAACCCAATGTAGGTGTCAAGGTTCCAACTAATGAAACCAAATAAATCAGAACTCCGAGGCTTGAAGTTTCCTCAAAGCATATATTTTTTGGATACATAATATTGGCATGGTCAAAAGTGAAACCAATGCTAAACTTCCCCTTAAAGATTCAATGTAGCTAAATCTAACAATCCCCTCCCCTTTGCTATGTGATAGATCACACTACCCAATCGAAGTAATTGGTGGGCTCCATTAACTTCTTTTCTCCACCTTCCAGCTTCTGTGGGAATGACCTTGGTTCCCATGGGACCGCTCTACTCTATGTTTAGTCTAGCAATGCTGTCATTTTCCTTCCCCCCTTCCCCCAACCTGTGGCAACTTAGAAGGACGAAGATGGCCTCAGCCGGTTCATTTCAGAAGCTGACACTAGCAACATCAGTCACCTCAGAATGCTTGTGGCTAGTTTTCTGACAAGGGTAGATCACTTGGTGGTGCTAGGGAAAGGAATTCTGTATTTATTCAATATGATGACTCTGTAAACCATTTAGAGAGGGGCTGCAAAGCACTGCAAAGCGGTATATAAGTCTAAGGGCTATTGCTATTGCTAGCAATTCCTCCTAAGCATGATTTCAACAGATAAAGCAAATATTTTCAACAAATGACTTGGGAGGTTTTGTCCTAAGCTTTTAAAAAAACAAAAAACGAATGGTTTTTGTCTAGCTCTAGTAGCAGAAAATATGTCTATTCGTTTGGATGGGGTGAAGATAAAGTAAAGGGCGAGAGAAAAGAGTTCTGTTGCTCTCAGGGCTTCGTGTTAACATCAGGAAGATAGTAGAAAGCTAAAAATAATCAAGAGCCTAGGATGAAGACAGATGTTTTTAGGTCTGAACGGAATACCGTCATCTATCTAAATATTTGTGGTCAGCTTCTGCACTGATAGAAAATATATAAAATAAAATTATGTGATGCCTTGAAGAGATGGGGGTAAAATGTAAGATATTAAATCTGTTGTTTTTTTTTTAAAAAAAATGTATTTTCTGTTTTGGAAGGGAAAAAAAAACCCCCAACTTTCAAGAGCAGTTTCTTAGCACTGCATAATAAATTTTGAGAAAGGATGACAGTTAGATGTAACTGAATTTTCTTTTGGATCCCTCCACAATAGATCAAGATTTTTAAGAGACATTAAATAAATTGACTGAATTGGAGAATTCCTCCACCCCTCAAGCTTAAAAACACTTTGTGAAGTTCCTTCCTAGCTGTATTCTTATAGCAAATATCTCAGGGGCTGCCACAAAGAAGAGGGGGTCCACCTATACTCCAAAGCACCCAAAGGTAGAATCAAAAGCAATGGATGGAAAGTAATCAAGGAGAGAAGCAATCTAGAACTAAGGAGAAATTTCCTGACAGTTAGGATAATTCATCAGTTGAACGACTTACCTCCAGAAGTTGTGGGCGCTCCATCATTGGAGGTTTTTAAGAAGAGATTGGACAATCATTTGTCTGGAATGGTATAGGGTTTCCTGCCTGAGCAGGGGGTTGGATTAGAAGACCTCCAAGGTCCCTTCCAACTTTGTTATTCGGTTACTACTGAGCAAATAGATACACATTGATATTAAGCAGTGACCTTCAGTCCATTGTCCATAAGGTCAATGGGGGGGGGGGCAGAGTAAATCTTGACAACCAAGAAACTTGAACCTGGTACTTTTGTTTGTAGCATGCAAAGTGTCTTTTTAATAGATAGATAGATAGATAGATAGATGGATGGATGGATGGATGGATGGATGGATGGATGGATGGATGGATGGATGGATGGATAGATAGATAGATAGATAGATAGATAGATAGATAGATAGATAGATAGATAGATAGATAGATAGATAGATAGATAGATAGATAGATAGATAGATAGATAGATAGAAGCTGGAGACCTGGCAGGTGGCTTGTGAGGATCCCACAGATTCATTGGTATAAACACACCTCTCCTTGCCTGCCCATGAGCCAAGCCACAGGAATCTAAATATATCCAATTTGTGTTGGACTCTGTTGGATTCCTTTAGCTTATCAGAAGAATTGTGAGCAAGCAGGTATTCTTTTAAGCTCCCGGAATCTGACATTGATGATTTAAAAGGTTAGAATCAGTGGGAGACATAACCATTTGAAATTGCAGATGAAAACTCATCCGAGTGATTCCCCCCCCCACATTTAAATAAGAGTATGCAAGGCATAGAAATACAGAAAACCAAGGGCAATGTTTCTTGCCTCTCATCCCCTCTTAAACTGTACAGATAATATTTTGTAATAAAACAACAACGTGCATTTGGTTTAATATTCCGTAGCTCCCACTCTGGTTCAATGACTGACATCTGTTATGCATATTCTATGGAGGATAAAAATGCTAAATAAATATAATTATGTACTCCCAGTTTATTGGATAGGGGTGATAAAATTCGAAAAGCCTTGCCTATGGATAACAAAATAGGTCTGGAGTCTCAATTTTGACTTTAGCATTCATAACTAATTTTGAGAACAAATTGTTTCATCTTTAGTTCAAAACCCTTATGAGGAAATATACAGACTTCAGGCACACCAGACCCAGTAACAATTCCATACATGCACTAGACAAAAATTACCTAATCATAGCAAACCAGAATTTGGTTGAGAAGCCACTTTCAGTACAAATGGGAGATTGATTCTCCCAGGAAATTATTATGAAGTGCAAAGAATGGAAACAAGGTTTTTGGAAATTATGAAGAGTGAAATGCCTTGCTTTTATTACTGCGTTTTTTTTTCAAGTATCCACAATTCCCACCCACCCATAAGAAAAACTTTACCGTGAGCACATCCTTCTTCAGAATAAAGGCAGCAAAATCATTTTCTTCAAAATAAAAGGCTTCACTGGTTCAGAAGAATCATAATAATGAGATATGGAGTCTTTGCCTTTAAGGTCATAAGACTTGGATTCTTACTGGGCTAGAAATAAGTAGAAGCTATTACCTTTGAGATTATTTACTACTTTCTCTCTGTGTCTCTCTCCCTCCCTCCCCCCTATTGCAAGACAGACAAACAAACAAACAAAGAGAGTCGAGAGAAATTTCAAGCGTGATGTGTGGTCAGCTGGTATCCAGAGAAATTATTTCATAATTGCTGGCATTGTTTGTGTTTCTATAATGTATGGACCCCAGAAACCCCCATTTTTTTCTCAAGGTTTCATTTAGGCACTAGTTTTATTAGACATATCATCTAATAGATGCCATTAGCAATCTGGGTCTACTCTAGATATGACAAATAGAAGAGAACATGTGTAGCTCATGGTTGAACTGTGGAGGTCTTGATGCTTTCTCAGCTTGGTTGTTTTCTTGCAGATATTTCATCAGTGCACTGATGATGTCACCTAGTTGGGTAATAAAACAACTGCAAGAAAGCAACCAAGCTCAGAGGTCACCAATAACCCCACAGATATGAAAAGGCTAACCAGAGACGTCCACTGAATTTTCCTAATACATTTCCTAGAAAATAACATAAAAGATGGCTCAAAGATAGATCTTAGAGAGTTCCTCCTTAACACTTGCTCCAGGTTATTACTTTCTTTTTTAAAGGAAAAAGAAATAACTGATCCCAATCTTGGGAGAAACAAGAATCAATCCAGTTGAAAAAAATGTCATTCTCTGATCACATTACCTTGTGTTCCTTCACAACTTCTTGAGTACATTGCCTGAGAATAGAATAGAATAGAAATAGAATAGAATAGAATAGACAAATTATAGAATAGAATAGAATAGAATAGAATAATAGAATAGAATAGAATAGAATAGAATAGAATAGAATAGAATAGAATAGAATAGAATAGAATAGAATAGAATAGAATAGAATAGACAGATTATAGAATAGAATAGAATAGAATAGAATAGAATAGAATAGAATAGAATAGAATAGAATAGAATAGAATAGAATAGAATGGGACTTTGGAGGTCTTCTAGTCCAACCCCCTGCTCAAGCAGGAGAACCTATACCATCTCAGGCAAGTGATTGTCTAGCCTCTTCTTAAAAACCTCCAGTGATGGAGCTCCCACAATTTCTGAAGGCAAGCTGTTCCACTGGTTAATTGTCCTCACTGTCAGGAAGTTTCTCCTTAATTCCAGGATGCTTTTCTCTGAGAATACATTCGTCCCAAATGTCATGGAAAATGCATGTACCCAGTGCAAAGAAATTGTGCATCATGTTCAAAAGGCAAAGCAATATTCCACTGGGTAAGCAGGGATGGAGAAACTGTATCCTGCATATTGCATATTGCACATGACTCTACATCTTCTTTTTGGTCTTTCCATTTTGCTGCCAAGATTAAGCAGCAAAATGATGCAATTTTGGCAGCACGATTGCAAGTTCTTTGGGGGGGGTGGGGAAAGGATTAAGGTTGGGGATGGAAATGACTTGCCTCCTAGAGGCTGTGTTTTCCAGAATGACTCTTAATGCAAGATGAATTCATATCCCATTATTTCTCAAAGACAAAAGCCCACAATAGCCTAAAGACTATTGAAATCTGTGGGATCTTTCAATTCTTATTTTCCTAAGCAAATTTCCCCTCACTGCTTTGATCTCTTAGCATTGGCAGGGGAGAAACTTGATGCTAAGACATTTTATATCCCAATATTATCTTGGGATCAGGACCTCTGGGAAATGTAATTTCCTAAGACTCCTAATTGAACTCCTCAAAGGTATTCTGTCATTGGTGCCTCTGCTGAGCAAATAGCTGTCTATATTAATTCATCCCAACATGCTTCTAAGTAATAAAGAACTTCAGATGTAAAATCATTGTCCTTGACACTTACTGGTAGCAAAGCAAAACAGAAGAACAACTTGCCTAAAACAAAGCAGTGAAGGATCTGGTGACTCATTAAAGACACACGCATTCTTCATCCAATGAGCTTTTATCATGCATCAGGTGCTGGATTTATAATTCCAAGGTATTTTGTTGCTTTCGCCTTAGCTAACTAATCTATATGCTCTTCTAGAAAATAGCCATCCTCCGTGACAGCCAGAATCACGTAGTGGCTGGGCACAAGATTTTCATGCAAAAGTTGCCAGCTCATTTCTTTCAAGTTATCAGTGGAAGCATAGCACAGTGACATAACTCATATCTTGAATGGAATGGAAAAGTTCAACCGTAGACATTTCCAAATAGGATTGAATATCCATTGGAAGCATCTGCCAGTCGATCTCAGCCAATGATGTGACTGAGTATAAGCCAGCTTCTCATATTCCAAAGTATTCATCTGTATTTGCTCAATGGACAAGGGTTAGTTCATATGACCCAAGATCTGGTTAACAAAGCAGAATAGGAAGGAACATTCTTGTGTTCACATAACGTCCTATGCCCAAGCAAATAAAATATACACAATGATTTGTTTCATATAACATGCTAAAACATTGGCTGGGTTCCTACAATATGCTGAATCATTGGAAGAATCTTCTCCAAACTCAACAACTAACAGCTTCATGAACACATCCATGCAGATTTCTTGGTAACAATGTTGAAGTAGTTTGCCATTATGTGGGGGGATTAAAAAACAACAACACCTTTACCTTATGTCCTTGGCATTTCCTGATATTTTCCCTCCAATTACTAAATAGAGCTAACCCTGTTTAGTTTCCCTTCTAACCAATATTCAGAACTCATATTTTAATCTAATGTAGCACATTGTGTAAACCAATTCTAATTCTTATCTAGAATGATATGGGGAGAATTATAGACAATAAGTTGTAAACAAGTTATTTTTCATGACTTTCACCATCTTGCCTATCCATCCATCCATCCATCTTTTTTCTTTTCTTTTTGGTTTTTTAGGCTCTCAAGGACCCAACTTTGGCTGCCCGAAAGGACTTCCAGAGGGAGGCAGAGCTTCTCACCAACCTGCAGCATGACCATATTGTAAAGTTTTATGGTGTCTGTGGCGAAGGAGATCCACTTATCATGGTCTTCGAATACATGAAGCACGGGGACTTGAATAAGTTTCTGAGGTAAAGGCTAAATATTACTACTGAGTTATAGAAAGGGAAGAATAAAAATTGATATGAGGGATAGGGCATGACTGCAAATATTTTGACTTCATCGAAGTGGGTATGGCTAGTCTAGAGAAAAGAAGGACATGATAGCAGTATTCCAGTATTTGAGGGGCATCAACCACGAAGAAGAGGGGGTCAACTTATTTTCCAGAGCACCAGAAGGCAAGACAAGAAACAATGGATGGAAACTAATCAAGGAGAGAAGCAACCTGGATTTAAGGAGAAACTTCCTAACAACAACAATTAACCAGTGGAACAGCTTGCCTTTAGAAGTTCTGGGTGCTCTATCACTGGAGGTTTTTAAGAAGAGACTGGATATCCACTTGTCCCAAATTGGATAGGTTCTCTTGCTTGAGCAGGGAGTTGAACTAGAAGACCTCCAAGATTCCTTCCTGCTCTATTCTGATTGATTGATCTTCCCACTGTCCAACCAAGCTTTAGAAAGAGTGAAACTCCTTTTCTTCTCCTTGAACCCTCTGTGGTACTATGGCTACTATGCAAATATGGGACTAATTTAACACAAATAGCGGTGTCCTTCACCATTACAGACACTACAAGAAAGTCTGTGGCACTGTCACACTAAGCCATGGGCAGTTCTACGTGACTAGCTAGAAATTAGGATTTAAGTCAGAGAAACTGACCAGAAGGCTCCAACTAGGGACCAAAACCAAGGAGAACTCAGCTGTAATTCAGGGAACATTTCAGACAAAGAAACTCATATCACTCTCACTGCCAAGAAATCATACGACAAACTGGATAATTCATTATCGAGAAATTTCTCCAAGCTGTATTTTTGGCGGCATCAATTTATGGCAGCTCTTTGGGCATTGCCACCACATGTGGTAGTAATTCCCAACGGTCTCTCCACACTTCCAGCATATCGAGGATTTCCCCTTGTTCATTCGTGCTAATCTTGTGGGAGGGAGGTGCCACCTATAAAACATCTTATAGAGGTTTTCCTTATAGGAGGTTGCTAGAGTAATTTTTAGATTTTTTTCCCCATAAACTTTGCCAATTATCCAAATCAATATTGTGCCCAAAATATTTACACCAAATAATCATCGTTTCTTTCACCTGTTCCTCAATCATATCTTGCTCTAATAATAAATATCGATAAATATCGATATAACTCAGCTGTAATTCAGGGAACATTTCAGACAAAGAAACTCCTATCACTCTCACTGCTAAGAAATCATATGACAAACTGGATAATTCATTATCGAGAAATTTCTCCAAGCTATATTTTTGGCAGTATCAATTTATGGCAGCTCTTCACTAAATCTGAGATTTTCAGTCCTAGCACTGATCTTTCCTTTTGGCTTTGTCCTCCAGCCACTTCAAGACATATGGATCCGCATAAGGATTTTAGCATGGACTGGGGCTTGATGTTTTCTTATACTCTGGTCTTTAGTTGGTAATTAATTTGCCAAGAAAGTCCAGCTTCTCCCCTGGACTGGATGGTTTACCTTTTCCAGTTCTACAAAAATTCTGCCAAAAAAAAAAAATCCTAGCCACTCTTATCTTACCAGCATTTCCATCAGCATAGAACAGCCAATAGCCGAACACAAAAATGGATGGAGATGCTGTTCTTCTGTCATGTTGAAATCAAGGGCTAATGTTCCAGAATTCATGCAACGGTACTCCCATTTTTCAGTAATGATTATTTGTTATTCCCTAGTATTGAGTTAATTGGACTTTTGTGATACGTGTTGCGTGTGTGTTTCCTCTCCTGCTACATTGATTAAGCGGGATTGTAAAGTAATTGTGTCAATAATTTAGATAGCAGCTACACTTCTAGGTTTGAGGTTTTGCCAAGCCAATTATTCTGTTGTCAAAGCTGACACATGACTGGGGTGGGGGTGGGGGTGGGGAAGCAAATCTCTTTCCTCTAGATTTCATTTATTTTAGCTGGCATCCAGAGGACAAGAAATATTGGGATGCTTCCAAAGACGGTCTTGCCCTCTTTGAAGAGATAGGGGAACTCTGCAAAATCTGAAACCTGCAGACTACAGTTGCAGGATGAGTGGAAGAGTTGTCAGTCTTGACATATCTTTTCGGTTTCCATTTCCCCTGTAGTCCTGTTGTCTAAATGTGGGCAACTCAGAGAGATTAAATGCATTTTCCAAGTCAATCTGACAAGCTAGCAAAAAGCCAACAGCTTTGTTCCAGTAGATTTAACAAAGGAATATTGACATATTTCCCCATGCAAGCAAGGTCAGCAGGGCCAATTGTTCCAGGAGCAAGATTTCTCTCCTCCCCCCCCTTTTCCCTTCTTGTGAGAATTGAAGAAACTGAATGAGATCACAGTGGGGGAAAACATTTAAGGCTCCTCCAATCCCTTCCACCATTACATACAAAATCCCAGCTTGGGACATCAATACTCACTACTTGTCTGAAGGGGTCTTCAAACTTGGCCCTTTTATGACCCCTGACTGAGGAATTCTGGGAGTTGAAGTCCACAAGTCATAAAAGGGCCAAGTTTGAAGACCCCCTGCTTATACAATTCCCGGGAAGGTAGGTTAGCCATTTCTGTGGTTGCCTTCCAGAAGTTGTCTAACATAAAGCTCCTGCAGTGGAGAAACTGAAGCTAAGATGACACACCCCCAACTGTGTTTGCATTTGCCTTTTTCACTCTTGTTCCCTGCTGTTTTTACCTTGGGCATTTTAATTTATTACTCTGGTACAATTTTATTATTGTTAGCTGTTGGGAACCTTAGACGTATGCAGTGGCATACAAACCTAATCATATATCCTTCATATCGTATCTCATCAACCCCGGGAAGGTTGAAAATCAAGACTCGTATTTTCAAGCCAGAAGGAGCTTAGGTCTCAGAAGAGAAAGAGCTAGCAGACTGAAATTTTCAATTTGCTGGCTAGGCTGCTGCTGCTGCTGCAGTTGACAAAGGTAAAAATGCCAGCAGCTGTTTTAAAGAAAAAGGAAATGAGCCACAAAAGGGACATTGCTGCATGCTAGCAGAAAATCACAGCACACTGTTCTTATTAATGATCTCTGGGGCACTACTTCTAGCTGGCGGAATGCTGCTATGGATGATAAGCCAGGCAATTGATCAAATAGCAAAAGTGTAATTCCAGAGTTGGATGAGAAGACCTCCTTCACGTGTTCAGGGTCCAATTCACGAAGCATACTGCTTTTCCGTGTGGTTAGCTCATGGCCCTGATACACAATTATAAGGCCTTTTGGTGACACCTGCCTGCACTTTGAAGGGATAATGAAAATAGGACAGTATTCATCAATACTGTTGTGAATCGAATCGGTTTCTTAATACAATTTTGGCAGCAGAAGCAAAGTAGGCTACCAAGAGGTGACTTTATTTTTGTCAGTCAGGTTATCCATCATTCTAAAATGTTTTTTTTTTTTTGTGGGGGGGGATACCTTCTCTTTCTACCTGATCTTGCAAATTGGATAGTTTGGAATTCATATGTTATTTCTCAGGGTTTCCCCCCCCCCCCGAGAGATCTTTGCATTTATACTGCATGCATGTTTTCCCCAAGTACTGTGTTTGCTTAAAATATGAGACTACATTGCAAGCTTCAGATTATACTCCAATTAAATATTAGCCAATATTTCTCAAGAGGCGTTTGAGATACTGTTTGTATATCCTTCTCCTCCTCCTTTCACCACCCCCACCACTTCCCAAACAAGTCACTTTTAGATGTAAGATTTTTTATCTTGACACATCACAAGACTACAGATTGGCAGCCCTGAGACCAGAAATGTTTCACCTGTCCTAAGCTAGGCTACCGAGAGAGGTCACCAGGAATTCTCTACTGCAGATTTGGAGGGGGGGGGGAGATTGCTTTAAAGTCTCATGAACAGAAAGTTCATGATTAAAAAGAAAATCAAACAAACTATTTATTGTTGGCCAGATTTCACTGAATTTTAACTAAAGTTTTTAGGGTACAAATAGCCTAGCTGTCTTTTCCCAGAGAAAGGAGGCAATGATACATCTTAATTGGGAACTGGTGCTTCCAACAAATCTGGAGCAGAGATTGAAGATTGCTGCTTTTTTTAAAAAAAAAAATCTTGTTCCCACAATGGAGGGATAGATTGAATGTCATAGTTCCGACAGATGAAACTCTTCAAAGAACTTTGAGGCATTGTTTACCTTAAAGAATCTTTATTTGAGTAGCATAGCATCGGCACTAACACAGTCAAAGCCAAAAACTGGATTCCCCTCCCCTGAGCACATAGTATCAAAGCACAATTCCCTCCTCCAATTAACAGTCATAAATCACATTCTCCAATTAGTTTGAAATGCAGGCTCTCCCTCCAGTTTTCCAGCCCGCCAATTCTTATCATCTCTTATCTAAACTCTCATGCACATTTCTCTCCCCCCCCCCAGCATCATCTAACTCTAAAAATAAAACATAAGAAGAAAATGGTTGCATCTCTAACTGTTGTCAAATCAAAAACATCTGATGTTAGCAGCGTTGACATTGAAAAGATGATGGAACTGATGGAGATGGTGAAACTGACTGCATGAATTAGGGGCAAGAAAGTAAATAGAGATGCTGTTGGTTGTTCTGTAATCTGATCCATTGGACCTGACCCCTGTCTTACTTCCCCCAGGGCACATGGGCCGGATGCACTGATCCTCGTGGATGGACAGCCTCGGCAAGTCAAAGGGGAATTGGGACTTTCTCAAATGCTGCACATTGCTAGCCAGATTGCCTCGGGGATGGTCTACCTTGCCTCCCAGCACTTTGTACACAGAGACCTGGCCACGAGGAACTGCTTGGTGGGAGTTAATCTACTGGTGAAGATTGGAGACTTTGGAATGTCCAGAGATGTCTACAGCACTGATTATTACAGGGTAAGGCAAATTCGAAAGTATCGGTTGGAGCGAGTGGCACAAACAGAGATTGGAGAAAAGAAACTGAGTTAACAGCTTTGTTCCATCCCGACTCACTCAGTCAGGATGGAGCAACTTTTATGAGGGATGGTTCTGTCACAGCAATCAACCAATGGAATGCACAAATTCTGGTGTTGTATACCTTGGGATTTTATCTACTGGGTTTAAACAGCAGAAGAAGGGTGATACCTTTTACATCAGGTCACATAAATAGGAGAGATGTCCACTATTAAAAAAACCAAGTTCTGGCCTAGATAGTCAAGTCTAGGGGAAAAAGAGACAAATAAATGTTCAAATTCTTCTGAAATAATTAAATGTTAGGTACTGACTGGCTAATGGTTACTGGACCATTCTGAGAACAGAGTTCCACAAAACCCTACAGTTCCTACTATAGTTTATATTCTTCAGATGTAAAGAAGCTGAAGGTCAAATATGGGTTCCCCCCCCTAGTATTGCATCAAAAACTGGGATTCCTGCATATTTACGTCTTGCTCTTAACAGCAGAATAAAAGCCTCCTTAAAAGCCGAGAGAATTATATCAGGCAGAAAAGATCAGGAAAATCAACTCTTTGGCATGCTGTTGTTCTCCTTTTGTTCACGAACATTTTAATTGTGCAGCACTGGAACACGGCAGGGCTGACTAAAAATGCACGTTCATTCATGAGCAGCAAATTGGAAAGGACATTTTGGCAAATTTTGAGATGAGATGGCATGCATCGGGTGACTGCTTAGCCTCCCAGCGCCTAGATGCTGTGTGATTCTGGGACAGTTGGGGGCAGAACAGGGTGTCGCTGTGTTCAAATTATTCCAAGGAAAGGAAAAAAAATCACCATTCTTAATGAGGTGATGACATACTTCTGCCAATTATTAGCAGATGCGTCTGAATAAAGCTGGCGGAGGCCACCAAGGGACAGAATTCCACAAATGTGATTCAGTACAAATAAGCTTGATTCTATCTACAGCAATACTACAGCAGGGTCAATCAAGCTGGACTTCAAACTATAGAATCTACTATATCTAAGAAACCATAGCTAAGAAACAAAAGACCTTAGTTTCATGTGTTTCCTAGTAGGCATGGACCCAAGCTGCAAATTAGTTAAGCAGCACTTAAAATTTGAAGGACAATTGAACTTCTAGTTGCTGTTTTTTTCCCCTCTTCTTCCTCCCCTCCTCCTCTTCTGTTGGGACTATTCAACATCAATTGAAACCCATCAATGCCCTCTCTTGAATATCAGGAGCCATTTTTTTTTCATCCAGAATCCATTCCACATTTCTATTTCCTTGTTGTTTCCCCCATATCTGTGAACTAAAAATTCAACCATGTAAAGTATTGCCATTTCATTCTGCTCTGTGCTTAAATTGCTCTACAGTTGTGAAAGATTTCCACAATGATGTAAACCCTTATTTTTGCATGATGCTCAGAGAACATCTAGGTTTCGGGGAATCTGATGGCTCATAAACTAGCACTGAGGATGGATCAGGCCAATTCTTTTCCGCACAAGAGTTGGGGGAAGACTTATTAATGACAACATCACTTTGGCAAACAAAGCATTGGACTTACTGCAGTCAGTTCAGTATTTATGAGCATTCCTAATTTTAAGTGGAACCTCTAGAACCTCATTAGAAATGGGACCTCTTGATTATCTCAAACTTTAGGTTAAGGGTTCCACATATGCACGTCATACACTGCATAAATTATGCCTGGAGACAATGGATTGTCTTCAGAAGTTTTGGGTCCTCCATCACAGGAGGTTTCTAAGAAGAAGTTGGATGGCCATTTGTCTGAAATGGCATAGGGTCTCCTGCTTGAGTGGGGTAGGGGTGGGAGTGGGTTGGACTAGAAGACCTCCAAGGTCCCTTCCAACTTTTCTGTTATTCTCCTATTTCTTTGGCTCACCCTCACCCTCAACCTTTTGTGACTGTTGTAAAAAAAAAAAAAGTGGCAATGGTACAGGGAGAATGCTTTCAAACACATGTAAAGATACGTAATTGACTCATAAGAAGCATTCCTTAAAACAAACAAAGAAAGAAACAAGCATAATAATTTATTTATTTAATGCATGTGTCGCCCATCTCACTATTGAGGACTCTCGATAGAAGGGTCCAGATTTTCTAGAAAAGCCGTACAGTTATTTCTCTTTTTTTCCCCCCTTGCTGTTCCATCTGCATTCACAACACCCTCATTTAACCACATTTCACTACAGTCATTCTTTCTTCAGCCCAGCACATGTTTTCAACAGCCTCTCTCTCTTTCCTAGAAACATGCATAATTTTGGAACAAGCCACTCCTTGCGTTTCACCAGGTCTTTCATTAAAGAAAAGACATTGATAAATTAAAGAGAATCCAGTGGAGGGCAACAAAGTTGATTAAAGGATTGGAGGCCACGACTTGTGGAGGAAGATTAGGCAAACTTAATACAGGAGGCTTATGGAAAAAGCAACAGGAAGGGTAACTGATAAGTGTGTGTAAATGATGAAAATAGAAATAATAGGCAATTTAGGCTCAGTTATTGTGCTCTCTAGCTGGTGCAAACACAGTTTAGACAAGCAAATAACTTGTTGGGGTAAAGGATTGGATGATTAGGTGAAGAACAGTTGCAGGAATTGGGTATGTCTAGTCTAGTGAAGAGAAGGACTAGGGGTGATATGATAGCAGTGTTCCAGTATTTGAGAGGCTGCCACAGTGAAGATGGGGTCACCCTATTTTCCAAAGCACCAGAAGGCAAGATAAGAAACAATGGATGGACACTAAACGAAAAGAGAGAAGCAACTTAGAACTAAGGAAAAATTTATTAACAGTGAGAACAATTAACCTGTGGATCAGCTTGCCTTCAGACGTTGTGGGTGCTTCATCACTACAGGTTTTTAAGAAGAGATTTGTCTGAAATGGTATAGGGTCTCCTGCTTGAGAAGGGGGTTGGACTAGAAGACCTCCAAGGTCCCTTCCAACTCTGTTATTCTGTTAATTTGAATTTTTTCAAAGGACACAGGTAAACTCATCTAGTTTGGGATCAAGGGGCAAAAAAGGTTCTCTTTACAGTAAATGAACTGACAATTACAGCAATTTAACCCCTGCTTTACAAAGCAGATATATGCTAAGCGATGAGGAGAAATACATTTCTGATTGTATAATATTATCTTTCCATCCTGAGCAGGGAGCAGCATCCCTTAAGCACCGACTAGAGACTTTGGTCTCCATAAAAACTAAAAAGCAGGGACATCTTAAGCTCTGATCTGAATATTTCTACAATACTTTTTTTTTTTTGACATTGTGTTGAACAAAGCCACGCTAATCTAGGTCACTGTTGGGTATATCGAGTTTGTGAATTAAATCAGAGCAGATCACAAAAGAAAAATCCAGATTGAGAAAAAATCTACTTGTAGGGAAATGTCTCATGAGATTCTCAGTCATCCAGGTCATGATTGTCCCAAAGGTGCTTTTTCAAAAGGCTACTGGACTTTATCTTGTTTTTTGGTCTCCGTTGTGTTCGTAAGTCAAGGACTAGCTGTATCAGGCAGTTCCCTAGATTCCCCTGAAGAAGAACTGCCCAGCCAGGAAATAGGAAAATAGAAATAGAATTCTTGATTGGCCAAGTGTGATTAGACATGCAAGGAATTGGTCTCCGGTGCATAAACTCTCAGTGTACTTACAAACAACAAAGGGTTAAGTCATAGATCATAAATCATAAGATAAGAGACAACAATTGATAAGTGATAGGAAGTTGTCTTCTTACGTTTATTGGGGCTTCCTCTGTTTTAATCCTTGGGGAGCAAGGTATTATACAATGCTCTTTAGAAGGCCAGATCCTGAAGTTGAAACTCAAGTACTTTGGCCACCTAATGAGAAGGAAGGACTCACTGGAGAAGAGCCTAATGTTGGGAAAGATTGAGGGCAATAGAATATAATAAATATAATAAAAATTAAAGAAGGGGACGACAGAGAATGAAGTGGCTGGATGGAGTCACTGAAGCAGTAGGCGTGAACTTAAATGGACACCAGAAGATGGTAGAGGACAGGGAGGCCTGGAGGAACGTTGTCCATGGGGTCGCGATGGGTCGGACATGACTTCGCAACTAACAACAACAAGGAAGTTGTCTTCTTAAGTTTATTGGGGCTTCCTCTGTTTTAATCCTTGGGGAGCAAGGTGTTATACAATGCCCATTCATTTCAAGTTTTTAATATCTTTTTTGAGACATACAGTATAAGAAAAAGTCACCAATCCCTAAATCTCATGTAGAACATCTTGCAAAAGATTTACCTGTGAGGTCAAGTCAGCATTGCCAAGAATCAAACTGAAGATGGGAAAGCTTCGGGAAATAGCACCCCTCTCCATCTTTTCCCTGTCCTTCCTAAGCCGGAATACAAAATCAACTTTGGGTTTTGATAGAAATAAATCGACAGTGTAGTGGAGCTTTGGAAACCACATACATTTTTTTAAGGTCCTCACTCCTGCTCGTGAGCGCGTACTCTGTGTGAGTGGTCCCTCTGCTTCAAAAAAAAAAAAAGCCTGTTTGGGGTAAATACATTCAGAGTTTCACTTTCTGAGTCCAAAACTCATGCCAAACTTTCATTTCAGCTGATTTTAGCTAAAATGTTATTGTAAATTCTCCTACCGATTTCCTCTGGAGATTGCAGCGTTTTATCATTCTCTGGAGGGAAAGCTATGTAAGATTCCATCAGAAGGTTAATATTGACACGGCAGGTCCAAAGCTTTCTGCAGGCTAACAACTTCATTAAAATGTATCAGAGCTCCCTATCGCCCAGTGTGTGTGTGTGTGTGTGTGTGTGTGTGTGTGTCCCTGTATGCGTGTGTGTGTGTATGCATGTGCATGCATTTTGGTATTTTCATTAAATTCAAACAATGGGATGCTTGACTGTTTTTTTCTGATTCAGGATTCACTTCTGGGTTTTTTGTTTTTTGTTTTGGTCTTCCTCTTGTCTTCCTCTTCTTAATCAAAGGAAGAAAAAAAAAGCACCATCTGTCTGGAGCCAAAATAAGATACAAAGCAGTTAACGAAAAGGTGAACTGCTT